ACGTGCCTTACCATGGCTGTCCATTGCACAGATGCAATTTTTAAAATCAAAATGGCCAAGAACTTAAATTTGGATGGTAACAGATTTTGAAACCCAGTGCTGATTCAAGCTGGTGATATTCTGATCATAAAGAGTGCTCAACCGTGCTTGGGCTGTTTCCATCACGTCACATTGATTCAACAGACATTTTAGGCTTCAGAGTGAACAGTGACATTCCTGGAATCTTATTATATAGAGAATAGCACAGATAATCTGCTGTTACTGAATGCCTGGGTCCCTCCCTCCATATCTCTCCATGGTTCCACGTCCAACTCACTCTTTAGTAGATGTTGGCTGCATTCTAGGCACAGAGTCAGAAAAAAGAGCTTTAACTGTTAAGCAAGAACATGAAGTTCCCAAACACCTAGATGCTGTGTTATGAGACTGTTGGTTTTGTTTGGTAGTCATGGTAGATGCTTCCAGACAGAGTCTGGAACAAACTCTGCAGCCCATAGGCAAGCACCACAGCACCACTACTGTACTTGCCGGCGGGTGTTCTCACTATCAGCCATGCAAGACTGGGCTTCCATCTCTTTACATCAAAGAAAAATACCTGCTTTGGGCTAAAAATGGAAGTCAGGAATTCACAAATAAAACAAAAGGAGGTTTTTGTTTGGGGATAAAACAAACCAACCTGATTTATTTGTGCCTAAAAGAGAGACATGAATTAAAAGGTGCACGCTAAAAGCAGAATTTGCCATTGTTTTTTGCCAGAAATGAGATTTTGGTTAATTTTGAGCAACTCTGATCACGAGGTCAACAAATATAGTAACAGCTGGAGTTACTCATTCATGAAATGCAGCCATTTCCTGAATATGGAAATATGGCGTGTGGCTTAGGTAGCATTCCAAGTAGGGTGTGAATAAGTTGGATTTATGCAGCACCTTTCCTTCAAAAGCATCCCAAAGCACTTTACGTAAACTCACGGCCATTAACCCACTCCTGAAATGTAGCCTTCTCCAAGGTGGAGCACATTGCCAGAAACATCAGGCTTTATTTTATTTCATTAATTTAACAGTGACAAATTCTTGTCCCAAGTTCAGGGTGCCTTTGCATACATTCAAATGACATAATATCAAAATACTCAAGTATCGCACAGTGGTTTCCTTTGGGGCATATAAAAAATAACATCTATGCAGATGGTCCTGGCTGCTGATGGAACCTGAGATCTGCAGGTTCTGGAAGACAAACGTCCTATGCTTCCACACTGCCTCTTGACTGCTTTCCTTCACTCCCACGTTAGCACAGTCATCCAGGTCTTCTGTTGCTGGGAAATGCCTGCCAAATTTCATGAAGAATTTTTGTTTTCCAAAATTTATGAGCTTTTTGATGAAAACAGAAATCCAATATGTTCTCTCTTTTTTTTAAGTTGGAAGAAAGACTCAAAGAGGAAAAAATGAAAAACTGGAAAACTTCAGCAAAATATGTCATGAAAATTTTCAAAACCAGCTCGTCTCAAAAACTTCAAAGTGAAAACATTTCCCAAAATTTTCCAAATCACATACTCAGTCTCCAGCTGCCTCTTGTTACAGACAACTGCCTTGAAGCAGCATGGTTGGCCAGTTTACTGTAATTTGAACTAATTGGTTGTATAACAACATATAATTTATCACCCTTTCATTGTTAACTAGCATATTGTTTCCATCACAGCAAACACAGTAAAAATATAACAGATTAATTTGTATTATATTATAAGACAGGGCCAAATGAATGTTGGTAGGTTTGTACTCATTTAACTCATGGCAAAACTTGGCCACTTAGCCTTTTAAGGCATGTACTCATTGTTATTTCTACCCAGGTAAATATTAATAGAAATTTAGCTGCATGAACCTACTTATTTAGAACTTGCCACTTAAAGTTTAATGAAGAAAAAGTGACAAACTCAGAAGGGTCTGGAGATAAGATATCCGGGTTCAACTCCTAGATCAGGGATGGCCAACCTGAGCCTGAGACGGAGCCAGAATTTTTTAATGTACATTACCAAAGAGCCACAGTAATACGACAGCAGCCCCCCTTCAGCTCTTCCCGCCCCCACCCCGCTCACAGTGCTTCCTGCTCAAGGCAGCCCTGCCGATCAGCACCTCCCCCCCACCTCCTGATCAGCTGTTTCGTGGAGTGCAGGAGGCTCTGGGGAGGAGGGGGGGAAGAGCGAGGGCAAGGCAGGCTCAGGGGAGGGGGTGGGAAGGGGTGGAGTTGGGGCAGGGCCTGTGGCAGAGCCAGGGGTTGAGCAGTGAGCGTCCCCCAGCACACTGGAAAGTTGGCTTCTGTAGCTCCAGCCCCGGAGTCGGTGCCTATACCAGGAGCCGCATATTAACTTCTGAAGAACCGCATGTGGCTCCGGAGCCACCCCTGTCCTAGATCAGTGTTTTTCAATCCATGGGTCGTGACCCAGTACTGGGTCGCGGCATGTAAGGCGCTGGGTCATCTTGCTCTGGTCAGCACTGCCAACTGGGACGTTAAAAGTGCCTACCTTTTCCAACACCGGCTTCTAGGCAGGGAGGCCATGGGGCTCCGTGCGCTGCCCCCACCCTGAGCACTGGCTCCGCACTTCCATTGGCTGGGAACCAGCCAATGGAAACTGGTGGGGGGGGCAATGCCTGTAGGCGAGAGTTGTGTGGAGCCACTTGCGCGCCTCTGCCTAGTAGCCAGACCTGCTGCTGGCTGCTTCTGGGGCACAGTGCGGTCCGCGGTGCACCCCGGCTACGCTGTTGAGCCGCCGGAGGTAAGTCCATGCTGGTGCCCCAATCCTCTGCCCCAGCCCTGAGCCCCCCCAAACCCAGAGCCCCTCCTACACCCCAAACCCCCCAGCTCCAGCCAAGAGCCCTGACCCTCTCCCACACCTCAATCCCCTGCCCCAGCCCTGAGCCCTCCCAAACCTGGAGACCGTCCCACACCCCCCCAAACCTGGAACCCCTTCCTGCACCCCAAGCCCCTCATCCCTAGCCCCAGCCCAGAGCCTGCACCCCCTGCCCAGAGCCCTGACCCCCTCCTGCACCCCAATCCCCTGACCCAGCCCAGAGCCCCCTCCCACACCCTGAACCCCTCAATCTCAGCCCCACCCCACAGATCACACCCCCACACCCCAACCCTCTGTCCCAGCCCTGAGCCCCTTCCACACCCCAAACCCCTCATCGCCAGCTCTGTTGGGTCGCAGGCATCAACAATTTTCTTCAACTGGGTCCCCAGGAAAAAAGTTTGAAAACCGCTGTCCTAGATCATCCACAGACTTCTAATGTGACTTTGGGTAAATCACTTAATCTACCCTGTGGCTCGGTTTACCTTTTGTGAAAACAAGGATAATACACTGTGGTGTTCTGAGAATCAAATGATGACTAATCATGAGGTGTTCAGATACTGTGGTGATGAGAGCCACATAAGTGGGTAGATACATTCAGAGACTCTATTTGACAGAGATTCTAGCCTTCTGAAATATGCATATGCTCAGTACAGCTCTCCCAACATGTACAGTGAATCAGAATGAGTTGCATTTCTATCCATCAGCCAGCAGTCTCTCAGCACCTTACACTTCACCAGCACAGAAGAAAACCTTTTTTAAATATTCATTGTTTATGTTTTAGAGACCTGTGAAAAGTTAGTGGGAGGGGTAAAAGCGGACAAAAAACATGACATGGATTAATATACTAGGGGAATAATGAAGTTTATTGCCTTGTAAGATTGCAGTTACATTCTTTGTGTGCTTGGGTTTTGAACAACTGCCTCAAAAAGACAAAAAGTGACCTGAAGGCTCTGTGGACCTCGAAAGCTTGTTTTTCACCAACAGACGTTCATAGAATCATAGAAGATTAGGGTTGGAAGAGACCTCAGGATGTCATCTAGTCCAACCCCCTTCTCAAAGCAGGATCAACACCAATGAAATCATCTCAGCCAGGGCTTTGTCAAACCGGGCCTTAAAAACCTCTAAGGATGGAGATTCCACCAGCTCCCTAGGTAACCCATTCCAGGGCTTCCCCACCCTCCTAGTGAAATAGTGTTTCCTAATATCCAACCTAGACCTCCAACCTAGACGCTGATCCAGTAAAAGATATTATCTCACGCACCTTGTCTCTCTTGAAAAGACAAGATATTCTTCCAACTGTGTATCCAGAAAATCAAGTTGCCTGATAACTGTTTAGCTGCCAAAATGTGTTACAGCATGGCCTTTGTTAATTAATGTCCCTGGAAAGCCAAGGTCACTGAGGCTCAGCGGAATTGAGGGGGCTGACTGTGAGGGACAAACTGGAGTGATAATAAGGAAAAGCTGAAGGGAGTGAGAGAAGAGATATTTGAATGAAACGTAAGGAATTTGCTGTTTTAAAGCTAATTAATATTTGCTGTAGTTCAAAGTGGTTTGGAAAACTCTCTGCCAAAGATAATAAGCTGATAGCTGCCATGCTGAGGCTGAACATTTACATACATGGTGGAAATGAGAAATAGCTTAGAATTTGCCATTTGTTCTTCATGCGTATTTTCTAGGCCAACAAACCATTTAACTATATTTAATGTAAGTTAAGACCTTTTAACATTCATGTATACCAGTACAATCCCCTTTTACGCTTTGCAGGCTGTGAAATTTTAAAGGCATAAATTAAATAACTAGAAAAGATTTCAAGCGGGCTCTTAGGTTCCAATCCAGAATACCATTTAAAGATGTGTAATGTTAAACACGTAAGTAATCTAATTAAAGACAACAACTCCTCACCTGCTCATGTTTGAGTGCTCTGCTGGACTGGGGCCTTACTGCCCAACCCAGCATGTTGGTGAGATCTGTGGGAATTGAGGGTGCTCAGTTCCTCTTAGGATTGGGCCCTTATTTATCAAATCCCCCTTTACAAAATGTCCCCCCATAAAAAACAACCAACCAAAACAAAAAATCCCAGAATAATGAAAAAGTATTCTTTCTTCAGCCTTGTAAAGAATGTTTTCTTCTTCCATTGGAATTTGTTATGAAGACTTAGAAAAAATAAGATTTAACATCATTGTATTTATTAGGTTCTGAAACAATACACATTCACATCCTTTTGAATACAGTACATTTGGCACAGTAATAATGTTTACGATGAAATAACACTCATGAATGGCAAGAGATTCAAATTACATCCACAAGAAAAAGAAATCCTGTACAAATAAAGCCTTACCGAAAAACCCAACAAACCCCAACTCTAAAACTGAATACATTTTATATTTAACGAGAGCTATTCTGCCCATAATTTAAAAAGAGGTAATTTTTTAGCTTTTTGGAGAGAATTCATTATTTTTCACTCTATGGAAAAATGTTTCCACTTTTTATAAAATCTATATGGGAGAAAAACAACAAACAGTGGATTCTTCTCTTTTTTTGTTTTTGTTTTTGGGTTTTTTTTTGGCATTTTGCACTCATTTTACAAAAAAAATCAGGAAAGATTTTACAGAAATGTAACAGCATGTTCATTTTTCAGAATTATCTTTTAAAAAATGCGCAAGGTAACAGACAAACCTCCTAATGTAAACCCCATACAGAAGATCTATTTACTTGTATTGAAGAAACATCTGCCCACGCAAAAGTTCTACCTCCTTGACTCCTCATTTAGCATCCCTACAAAACAAATGCAGGTGCCAAGGCCTCTTGTAATAGAAATGTGTGTTCATGATTTTCACACTAAGAACAGGGTTGATCTAAACAGTTTGCTCACAAAATAGCTTTGTGGAATGTACTTACTCCCCAAAAGCAAATACTAATAATTTTGTAGAAAGACCTCTAATTTTACCAACAGTAGTGCACTATGCAATAGTTTTTCTTCATTCGATTCACCTATGTAAAAGAACACTCAGCACTGTGATCAGTTCTTGCCTGGTGACAAAAGCTGTATGTGGTGAAAACTACACAGAGCCAGTAGTGACACATGAAAATTTATGGGCAACGTTACAACAGTTTCCTTGGAAAAAAAACATGAGATGATGTAATCATTAAAATGTTTCTGTGCTTGTACTCAACTCCAGAAGCTAGTCTTTTCCCAGTACATAAATTTACTGAAGATAAATTAAATTAATCTAAAGATTCGATCCATTATTACACCTGTAGGCCAGACAACACATGAGTTGATATAGCATAATATTTAAAATTTTGAAATCATCATAAGAATATATATAATAATTACACCTGAGTTTTTAAAAAAACAAAATGGAACTGAATGTTGTCATCAGTTACAAAGGCTATGAACAGCCGGACGCATAATTGACACAAACTAACTCATTTGCTTGAGACCAAGATTTAGCTCTTAAAGCCAATGACTCGCACTTTGTCCACCACAATTTGTAACATTCCTTTCTCTTTCCTAGCTCTTTCATATCATAGAGTTGAAGAGAACTATAAAAGAGATTTAGTATAGCTTAATATATGTCTACATCTTTTATAACAAAAAAATCCTCCTCTCTCTGACAGTAACTTGAACCAATACACATACAGAGTATTGCACATGGACATTATTATAATTATTCTTTCATAGACTAAAGTTTTTATAATATGCCTGAACATGCAGCAGTTGATACCTCTATATTCAATGAATTCCACAGGCCTTGCAGCAAACACTATATACAAAATCTCACCTGTACAAAAGGCAAAAAAGCTTCGTAAGTGCCACTTTGCCAGTAACAAGTATATATATTTTTTGTGCAGCTGGAAATCCATGTGCAACAATTAAAATGGATTCCATTAACTGCTCACTCAGTCCAGTAAAATATATAATAAAATTACCTCAGCGATACATGTACACAAAAAACACAGGGTACTTCTGGAAATATAAGTACATAACACTGTTAGCATATCTACAGGCGGTAACTTCACATTAGTAATATTGTCCACATGAGTTACCACTTCAATTAATACACAAGAAAATCAATTTACATCTTTCCATAATGTCAGTTTTTGAATGTTTGATCTTCAGTCTTTCAACACACTTTCACATAATCCATGTTAAGCTTTGTTTTGTGTTTTTTTAATAGCACAGATTTCATATTAGATTTTAAACATTAAAAACAGTAGTACTATGGTTTTGTAAAAGTGTGCAAAAGTAACACACTGCTGTGAAAAATAAATACATATAATTAAGCAGGGTTGTTATCATTCACATTGAATACAAAGAACTAAAAACAAATTCTTTTTTATTATTATCATTTTTTAGAAACATGTAATTTAAAACACCTATGTGCCTGCCAATGTTTGCTTTGGGTACAAACTTTTACTAAGAAAGAAAAGTAATGTTTACCCAATTACCTGTCAATTTGTAGTAAACCTATGTAGCTTCATTAAAGCTATTATAGGCTTTTGGAGAACTGATCAATTCTTATATTTTAGCCCTTTAATACCTGTGTATAAAGTATCTGATTTCCTATTTTAGGCAACTTTTTACATTATCTTCATAATTCTTTTTATTCCTAACTAATAATCATGAAAAATTAGCTATGCCTATTTCTGGTGGATAGTTTTATATTATGCTTGCACCCCAGTATGTTAAAGCATATGTGATCAGTAATTGCACATCTAAGAAAGTAGACTTTTTCAATTACCACAGAACTGTGTATAATTGTCTTCTCCACACTTGAGTACAAACTTCATTGTAAACATCAGTGCGGAAGAAATGGCTCTCTCTCTCTTAATTAAAGATGTATGGCAATTATGTACTGTTGTAGGATGAGAATAAAATCTGCTAAATCTCTGTTTTAAAACAGTATGGCTCTTTTTGTTTCATGAAAAGATGCAAATTGTGTCCTTTCTGAGAGACCTTAAGAGTAACAGAAAGGTTGCAAATTGCAAAAGCACGGCAGTGTGTTACATCTACAATTTCTGATACAAAATTGTTTTGCATTGTTTGTGAGACAGAAATTAAGAGTGCCTTCAGATCAGAAGATTAAAGGAAAATAATAAATATATAGTTTAAATCGGGATATGGGCTCAAGGTAAGAGAAGTAGTTCTTGATCTAGTGAGTCTCAGTAACTGGAGGATCTTCTTAGGACCACTTCTTGCAGCATCATTCATCTAGCAGCCCACTGCTGACTATGGCAGAAGCTCTTCTCCAAAATAAGAGAACCCTTTAAATTCTTCTTGATTGATTTGCTTTATAATTGTCTCATCCACTAGCGTTAATACTGGCTCTTCTCGCGTAAAATCTTGATCAAAGTTATTTACATCCCTTTTGGTTTTCTGGGGAGGAAAGTATAAAAAGGTGAGTGAGTGATGAAATAACATACTAAAACCAATAAACATAAAAACTGCTTGGGAGGGGGGCAGGGGACTGAAATAAGCAGAATTTTCTGAAATGATAAAGAAAAGCTATTTCACGCAAAGAATAACAAACATATGGGATAAGCTACCAAGGGAGGCCACAGAAGCAAAAATTATAGTGACTTCAGAGAGCCCCACTGGTTTCTGGAGTGCGAAGGGGTAGTGATATGATGAGAAAGCGGGAAGCTGAGATTAAGAGTCATTATAAAAGAAATGGTATGCTAAGCAGTATGGCCGTTTCCTATTCTTATATTTTTGTATGGTTTTAATGGCATCACATTTGAGAGGTTTAAAGTGAATTGTCTTCCCCACAAGACAAACTTCTTCAGCCCTAACTGATCTGGTTATATTTGTATTTAAAATGTAAATGTAGAGCTCATGACAGGTCCTAAACTCAACACCTTGGAGGCTCAGCACAGGCAATTCAAGTTTCCCCATGCTGCCCTGCTAATATGATCTTGATGAATCAGCTCTAGAGCTGAAATCCTGGCCCCACTGAAATCAGCGGTAAAGCTCCCATTGAGTTCAATATGGACAGGATTTCACTTTAAGCCCTGGTCTACACTAGGACTTTAGGTCGAATTTAGCAGAGTTAAATCGATGTAAACCTGCACCCGTCCACACGATGAAGCCCTTTATTTTGACTTAAAGGGCTCTTAAAATCGATTTCCTTACTCCACCCCTGACAAGTGGATTAGCGCTTAAATCGGCCTTGCTGGGTCGAATTTGGGGTACTGTGGACACAATTCGACGGTATTGGCCTCCGGGAGCTATCCCAGAGTGCTCCATTGTGACTGCTCTGGACAGCACTCTCAACTCAGATGCACGATTGTTTGCCGTTGCTTTGACGCAGGGAGGGGCGACTTACAGGGTTAGCTTACAGGGAGCTAAAATCAACAAAGGCGGTGGCTTTACATCAAGGAGTATTTCAGGCAGGACTTCACGGAGGGTTCCAATAAGAAATGGTGCACCTAAGTTATTGTTCTTATTGGAACAAGGAGGTTAGTCTTGCCTCTGATTGATACATGGCTAGATTTACCTTGCTGCACCTTCTCTGTGAGTGACTGCAGTGTGACCTAGAGGAATGAGTCCCCTAGACGGGGGGGGGGGGTTTGCAAATGAGTACAAAACAAATCTGGTCTATTTCTTGTTTTAATACACTCCATCTATCTTTTACATCTTTGGCTGGCAGCAGAGGGTGCAGAAGGACTGCATGCCATCCACATCTCATGGCTGCTCGGCAGAAGATGGTACAATAGGACTGCTAGCCATCCTCATCTCTTGCCTGCCAGGCAGAAGATGATGCAATAGGACTGCTAGCAATCCGTATCACCTGCCTGCTCACCATAAGATGGTTCAATAGGACTGACAGCAGGACTAAAGAGAATGACTTGATCAAGTCACTCCAAATTTAGTCCCTGCGCCCACGTCTGCCCAGGCGCTCCTGATCGACCTCACACAGGCTACCAGGAGCACCTCGGACATGACGATGACGGCTACCAGTCCCACTGTACCATCTGCTGCCACAAGGCAATGGGTTGCTGCTGCTGTGTAGCAATGCAGTACCACGTCTGCCAGCACCCAGGAGACATACGGTGACGGTTACCTGAGCGGGCTCCATGCTTGCCATGGTATGGCGTCTGCACAGGTAACTCAGGAAAAAAGGCGCGAAATGATTGTCTGCCCTTGCTTTCACGGAGGGAGGGAGGGAACGGGGGACTGACGATATGTACCCAGAACCACCCGCGACAATGTTTTAGCCCCATCAGGCATTGGGATCTCAACCCAGAATTCCAATGGGCAGCGGAGACTGCGGGAACTGTGGGATAGCTACCCACAGTGCAACACTCCAGAAGTCGACGCTTGCCTCGGTACTGTGGAAGCACTCCGCCGAGTTAATGCACTTAATGCACTTAGATAATTTTCTGTGGGGACACACACACTTGAATATATAAAACCGATTTCTAAAAAAACAACTTCTATAAATTCGACCTAATTTCGTAGTGTAGACATACCCTAAGACCCCACGGCCATTTAGTCCTTGGTCTTTTCTTGGCAATCACTGTGATTTGGATATCTATCAAATAGGAGCTGGACTCAGAATACCAATTCATTTCACATAGGTCATTGAACAACCACATGACAGTGATTATGGTCAGTCATCCCCACACAAGTGACTTGAAGATGTGATAGACAGGTAAAAAGCTCCAGCTCTCATTACCAGTTTCCCGGAGGGATAGCTCAGTGGTTTGAGCATTGGCCTGCTAAACCCAGGGTTGTGAGTTCAATCCTTGAGGGGGCCATTTAGGGATCCAGAGCAAAATTTGGGGATTGGTCCTGCTTTGAGCAGGGGATTGGACTAGATGACCTCCTGAGGTCCCTTCCAACCCTGACAGTCTATGATTCCACATTAATGCAGTCATATTTCAAGTATGCACAGTGTTGTTGAAAGGAATAGGCATTTTTATTTGTTTAGACCTTTTACAGCCGTCTATTTTCTTGTTATGTTTCATGAAACATTTCAGAATAGTTACAGCTGAACCAAACAGTATTCAATGGAGGCAAAACTGCCATTTTAAAACTCATTTAGTATCAATCCTAAAATCAGACACAGATTTTTTTGAGATTAAGATACCAGAAATACAGTAGCAACCTGACTTACAATGTACTATGCCAAAATCATATTCTAAATAGATTAACATACCAAAAATGGTATATGTATCTCCTTTCAATACATATCTATAACTCCTGCTAATGCAAGAATATACCCATCAAAGTATTATTTAGCTGATCAACTCTACTGATGCATTAGAAAAATATTTTTCTTTATTTCACATAACAGACTTTTCTCATATCTGTAAAATAGTCATACTAACTAGCATAATCTATTTTGGCTGCATGGATTTTATATAATTCATCTGTCATAGCAAAATAACTCCCCTACTTAAAATGAAGAGTCTCTTTATGATTTGTGCACTACAGGATTTTCTAAGTGATGGGCAGTGAATAAGAGGCATAAATCCACCTACTTGCTAATGGGATTTCTGCAGATACTATAACACCCTATGTACTGCCTTTAAAATGCTAAAGTGAAAAAAATGGATACATATTTTTTTAACTGGCACATAAAGATTTCATTCTATGCAGTTTAAAAACAAGGGGCTTTAAAGTCCTTAGTGAATTCTTACTCAGATGGGAAAATATTGTGGAAAATATCATTTGAATTTTTAAATGAATTCACTTCTGACTGTGTTCACATCCCTCTTCTCTATGCTCTCTGCAAATATTCTAGCAAATGATTCATTGTCAGACATGGTCACTAAAGAAGAAAATGGCAAATGAGTATTTTCAGAAAGTGACTTTCAAATTTGTAGTAAGGATTATATGCACCAGAGCCCTGATCCAATGTTCACACTTTGAGCGTTGGATACTCACAGCCAATAACCTGTGGGCAAGCTGTAGAACAAGAATTTTTTCAAGAACGAATTTTCATTGAATATATTCATGAGGAGTGTGGTTTATTCGCTGGGAATTTGCAAACAAAAAGAGAGGCTAAAGTCATCGAACAGGCATTCATAATGAATCATTTGCCCCGCAAACTGAGGGCCAACTTTTTAAAGGTATTTAGGGGCCTAAAGATGCAGATAGGTGTGAAATGGTACTTTCAAAAGCACCTATGCTCCCAACTCCCACAGACTTTTTAAAAATCTTGTTTTCACTGGGAGTTAGGCACCTGGGCACTTTTGAAAATACTATGAGGTACTTATTTGCATCTTCAGGAGCCTTTTAAAATCTGGCACTGAGTTTCTAATGTGGGCAACATTTCCATTGAATTTAATGGGACTTTTGTCTAGGTAAAGACTGAAGAAGGGCCTCAGAATATTTCACTGTTTTAGATATGAAAGCAATTATCTACTTTTCAACACAGATATAAATGAGCCAACCTGCTACCAGGACTAGCATAGAGCAACCTGCATTACTTACTCTAGCAGGCCTCTAATAATGCAATTACTTAAACCAGACAGAAATGAGTGGGGCATAAACAAAACTGAATAGATTAAGTAATCCAAGGAAAAAAGCATAACCATTGCTTCTTTTTAAATAGAAATCCTCAGTTGAGATTTGGCTTCTTAGGCAATTTTTTCTTGAAGCCCCTTCTATTTTGCAGGGCTCCATCAACTGTGAACAAACAAGTCTGAGTGCATTTCTGCTTGTTCCTGGCTTTGCTGTTTTAACATTCTTGCATGCTGGGTGCTGCATAGGCCCATAGCATGCACAATTTTAAAGCTGCGGCACCAGAGCACAGAAGGAAGGCAGCAAGGGCTGCTACTGTCACCCAGAAAGGATCCTGAAAGGCAGAAGGGAGCTCGGCAGGAGAGAAAGAGTCTAAGGCTTCATGTGCTCGCTGAGCTGGGGTTTGATTCCCAGCTTGCATACACATACTTGCACTAGATAAACAGTAGCATAGCTGCAGTAGCATAAGCCGTGGCAGCAGTGGCATGGTTTACCCACCATGGTACATAATTGGCATAGCTAAACTATGCTTCTGCCGCTGCTAATGCCCGTGCTACTGTAGGTACACTGCTATTTATACTCGTACTAGCTGGATAAGAGCTCACACAAATCTGTGTATGCAAGCTGGGAATCCCATCCTCACCTGCAGCGTAGATGTAACTGAAAAGTATATGAAGGGAATGGGATTCCAGTAGTACCAACCCTAAGCATTCGAACTTCATGAGTAGGGCTGCAAAAAAATCTTGAGATTGGATTAAAAATCATGTAATCACATGACTCCAGGAGCTAAGGCTGTAAGAAAAACACCAAATATCACAGGATTCTGATAATATCATGAGTTGGCAACAGTGGGATTCTTTCAGGGGAACTACCAAGGCAGCAAAGCCAGGAGGGTACTGAAAGTC